GAATAATTTTCCCCGGTGTCTGGACTTTTTCGAAGCAAAAATAAGATATTTGACTGTTGGCACCGCCCACTCCGGCGTCCGGCTCATGCCACGCCCCGGTGGGTGGAGCTCCGCAGAGCACATATGTGCTCTGTTAATCTTGTCCCAGGCTCCACCAATCTCGAACTTGTCCCGACTTCTAAAGTTGTTTCTGTGGCAAAACCGAACTGCGTGAGACACAGACAAACATATATACATACATACATACAAACAGACACACCAAACATGTGGATTATATATAGTAAGTATGGATTATATATAGTAAGATTTAGGTATGTCGGGTTTTCTCGTCTTCGTCGTCTCCTTCTGATCTTCCTGTAGCCTTCGATACTGGACTATACTTTTTCACAGCACGATTTAATATGATTACTTCATCCACCATAAACGGGCTCATAATTCCTGTACTCTAAGTTCAAACCGAATAAAAAAGTGAAAGTGGACTAGAAGGAGAGCAATGCTTCCGAAGCGCTCTAGGTGATGTCACCTCTGTTTCGTGTTGTATAGCTGAGGTTCATTCCGACAACGATCGCATTGGCTCTTCCCCGAATTCGAAAACCATTATAGTTTAAAGAATTAGGCAAAAATGTTTGGCTATTATTTGAAGACGTACGTTTTTAGTAGTGCAATTATCTAAAGGCGGAAAGGCGTTACAAAAGGCGTGTCAATGATTTGTCTTCAGCCGCCAAATTTTTGTCGGTTATAAAACTTTTAGAATTTCTTCCGAATTTGAGAACATAGAACTAATATTACCCACTAGATTTCGTTTGAAGAACTGTCAGTTTGACTTATGAAAGCTAATGAAAGCGTGACTGCGTTTTCGTAAAACATTCGATTCCGACATTGAATGTGCCTTGAAGATTAAGGTCATCTTGAGGTGGAGTTTCAAGAGTTTAACTTTTTGGGAGTTGTTTCAGTAAAACACAGTTCGTTTGTGTAACGTCTCTATATGTTCAATTTCGTGTTCTTGATTCATTTCCAGTTTTTTTTTTTGTAGAATGGAGTGAAAGAAGTTGTGTAAAAGTTAAGAATCTTAAGAAAATTCAAAGTGGATAAATAGTTAATGCAGAAAACAGAGAACACTGCTCATAGATTCTGATGCCATCGATAACCTGGTTGCTGTAAATGAGTTTAGACGATCAGCCATGGTCAAAAGCTAGTTCTTCGATAGTTTATTTTACATGAATCGAGGTTGGATTGTGTGAAGATATTGACAAGTGCTTGAGCTGACGTCCGGCAGGCAGTTATCTCTCACGTGACAGTTGAGCAAGCGAGTTATAAAGCGAGGGTTCGTGTGTGTGTCTGTGTGTGTGTGGGTGAGGGAGAGTGGGCATATGCGTGGATCGATGAGTTGCCAGCCTCGTGCTGCAGCTTGTGAACGGGCTCCTAGTTAGGCGAGCCAGCGGGTCCGCAAGATATTCTGCTAGTACCATGAAGTTAGTCGCATCGACTGTTGTTGTCATCGTGCAGCTGCCGACCAGATACAGCTGTTCAATTAGATTCTGTCTCAAGCTTTTCTCTTCTTCTTCTTATTTGACTCTTTCTGCTTCCATACGCGTCCAGGTGTTTATGAACCTGTCTCTCTTCTCAGGTCTTCCTCATATTTTGTCGTCGTGCCGCTTTGATTTCTAATCATCTGTTGGAGTCACCAATTGTGGCACCTAAAATAACAACTTAGGAGATGTTTCGCATCTTGAGGCATCGTCGAAGTTCTGCTGGGTTTAGGAGGTTTCGTTACTTCAGTTGTGATTGATCAAGATGGATGTCGGTGTGCATCAAAAACTAATCAGTTAGGAATATCCGAGTTTTTCACTATCCTTTCAATTATTTTCCAAACATCCTTCTCCAGCGCTTTCGAATTGAAAAGACCCATGTCACCGACTCGATCAGAATGATTTATTTTGGTTTGATATTTAGTTCCTGATTTTCAAAGCTAGTCAGTAAGGTATATACTACCTTACGACTACGACTACTTTTATGTGCAAGATTTATGCATGGAATTCCACTCAAGCTGCTTACCTAATAAACGATATAACATCTTTTGTTCCAATTTCCATTTCTGCACAGCTTTCATTGTTCACTTGATATGTTATGCAGTCTTCTTCGATACGTCTTCAGCTACTTCTAAGAATATGTAAGAAGTAGCGCATCGAGAACAGGTTCACGTTCTCGTGCCTACAGTGAAACTTCCTTGTAACCTATCATTGGGACGGACTATTGACGAAGAAAACAACACATATGGTCAACAATCCTGTTCGCCAAATTTTTCAATACTTACCTTGAAACGGTTACAAGAAGCAGCGCATAGAAAGGATTCCGCGGTAGGGGAGTTGTAAAATGTAATATGTAAAGCGCTTATCCAAGAAGTAGTATAGAATTTCCATTCAGATGTTTCACTTATTTCTCTAGGGAAATGATTACTATCCCGGAGGAGATTCCTAAACCAATTAGAGGTTCTGAACGGATGACACTTCGTCTGTATTCTTGATTTTGTGAGTCTTATTCCAAATAATTTATGGAATTCCTCAGCCAAAAGTTAAGAACAGTGCAACTCTCCCGAAGTAGCTCGTGATGAAGCACCTTTTCCATCTTGGCGGCGTTCTTCACATACGATTTCTTCCACGATAAAAGCCATGCATGATATATTATACATGCACAATCCTCAAACAATTCGTGCTCTTTGTTGCTCCAATCTCTCTTGAGAAATGAATGAAGCAGTCATCAGCGTATTTGTGATTTATAAATGATGAATTGAAGCGGGCAGTAACACGCTACACTCAGTTTAATGTTGTTGTTTTCAGTAATGCAACCCTGATGATCAATGGTCTTATAACGGACAATGAAATTTCAGTAAACGACGTCATTAGACAAGTTAGTTTTCAATACTTATGACTACCATTAAGCCAGACGCTTTGAACATAGTTGCTCTTAGCATTGATCACTTTGATTCGGGCTAATTTTTTGTTACCCATCAGTATTTCGCGTTCATTTTCACAACATCTCTTTCTTCAAATGATATATTTTTCTCATGAATGCAGTAACTCAATGAGTAGCCAAGGGTTTGTCATCTTATTGAACTATTACTGTTGTTGATTGGTTTGGTTGCTCATGCTTGTTAGAGTGTAAAAGCGTGACATCGCCTGTTTAAGGTTCTTCGTGGAAACGCCTCTTCAACGACATCATCGGATGGTTCGCGTCTGAGTAATCCGCATGATAATAAGATGACAGCAATGGCTACCACAACCGTATCATCGGCAAGTTCCTCTACCTCGAAACCGACCACAATGGCGCCGGTAACAACCAATGTTTGGCAGCAAAGAATGGCTGCTCGTCAACGCGAGCAACAGCAGCAACTGGCGATGAGCTGTACGTTTGATGGTCTTTACCGCTTCGCTCCATTGTCTTGATTTGACCCGATTAAAGTCAGTATGGATTGTAGTAGGGATTTGTTTTACAGCTAGCAATGCTACAAAGGAAATCTCAGCGCCGCACAATTCTGCGGACAACTTTTCTGCAACGTCAGTCACAGCGACCTCAACGCCTTCGCTTTTGAGAAGTTCGTCAATCTACTTCAACTTATCTATTTCTATGGAAAATTTTGCCACGTTGTCTACAGGAACCGCTGCTCCTTTCGCCAGTAGGTCAGAAAGTCAACCGGCTAGCACAGTCCCGGCTCCGATCGGTCCTCCAAGCTCATCAGCTTCCCTCGATAAAGAGCTGCCGAGAAAAGCACCAGGGTACAGATCACCGAGTACTCAAACCTCGTCTAGTGAGTTTGGATTCGTTTATAAAATCCTACCATTTTCTGGTCGAAAGTGATTTCGAGTATCGATTCTCGGTTCTTTTTGAAAATACTACAATGGTTTTCCTTCTGTAGGTTCATCTGCGCCGGTCGAACAAACTATCATTTCCTCGGTTGCATCATCGGTGTCATCCACACCTCCACCAGCACCAATTGGGTCGGACTCATCGGCTCGTTGTGTGATGAATTCACCGCCAATCCCTATCGCTCCACCACCAGGATTTTCTTCGCTAGCTTCAGAAGTTTCGAAGTGTACGTTCCATTTTTCGGGTTCCACCATCTCGAAGTTTTCCGGAATATTAAAACGCCAGTTGTTCAATTGGTTTCCTCTGTAGGCTCAGGTATACAGTGGTAGATCTCAGTTACACTTCTCATTTCATTTTGTTCCATTGTTTCATTTGATCGATATTCAGCATAAAAAACTCGAAAATCAGTCAGAATTGATCACTATGTTGGTCTAGAAACTGAAACCTGAAGAATGATTTTCTGCCTGGATAGCTGAAATGGACTTATTGACGGTTAGATATATCTTCTGATGATTACTTCTTTTAGCCGCATCCGTCAAAGCAACTGTGAGCCCATTGTCAACGCCGTCAGTGGAACCACCTGGCGTTGATGTTGTTATATCGTCGCTGAACGATATCGCCACATCTACCGTTGCTCCAGTAGGAAAACTATCGAGTGCTGATTCTCTTACAACCCCCACAGGAACAGGAAATGACCTCTCAGCCATGCAATTCCTTGATGAAACTACACGTGCTAAGCTTGCAGAGGTTTGTTAGGTTCCATTTACGAATCTCTCAGCTACTTTTATTCTGGGGTTTATCGAGATTTTTGTTTTTTAGATATGGGGAACAGGTAAACAAGACCAAACATCACAGGAACAAGCTTGGGGTAATCAAGTGCTGCTAAACAACTTCGCTAATCTTAACATTCGAAGCTCGGTAAGAAATTCAGAGTGCACTGTCTAGGTAATAGACAAACTGACTACATCAAATAAATTGCAGTCAACTGATTGGGCTAGCGCTCCGCACGACAACTTGTTCATGAGCTCACCGTCATCTAAGGTGGCCAGTGTCTCATCCAACCAGCAGAGCATATCTGCTCATCAATCTGGAACAACTTTCGTGACGAGCCCTTCAAGCAACGACTGGCCTGTTTCTTCCGCAAAGTCGATGCCTCTTTACGCACGACCTCAGGTACAGTTTTCGACTAGTTGAATGACTTGGTAATGCGTATTTTGTGCGGATGGGCATGTCAAAAAATTGTAATCACTCTTGGGACTTTCACTCCTGTATTCGAATTCCCAATTGCGTTCTTTGTTTTCTCCCTTTGCTCTTGTTTATTGTGATTTTTGAATGAATTTCAATGATATTGCTAAGGAAAAGTTGCTTAGAGGATAGTTTCAGGCCCGTATTCCTACTGTTCCTCCGCACCCTATAGGTAACACCTCTTCAACCACATCTACCATGCCACGTCAGTATAACTCCAGCTCAAGTCAACCAGAAAATAATATGCTCTTTAACCAGGTCCGAATTATCTTGGAAGTATGTGCTCTTTGCTGCTTTTATTCCAATATAAACTTCCAGTTGGCTGCACAGCTACTCATACAACAGCAAGGGGTTGCTTCAACGCCCGTTCCACCAGCCCAGTCATACTATCCGTCTCCGTCTTACACTGATCCTGCTATCATTGGAATGGGTCATTTGAATACTCCAACCACTGGTAGCGCTGGAAATTCTGCTTCTTCTATTGCTCCAAAATCGGCGTACAATAATCCTTACCAGGTATGATGCTTTGTCATAAGTTTTTTTTCGTATTCGTTGTGCCGCACTTTTTATTGTTAGCATGATTTTTATCCCATGTGCCATGAATTCTTAATCTAGTGCATAGCTGTAAAAGGCGTGACAGCTCCTCGAGGTGTCCCTGCTAATCTCAACTGATGCAGAACGTTCGAATTTGTTAGAATTTGAAATCAACTTCGGATTTCGGAATTTCTATCACCCATCTCTTGTTTTTTTGAATCTCAGGTTTTTTTTTNTTTTTTTTTAATTTTTAGGCCGCAAGCAATGAATACGAGTCATTGAATTCACTGCTTAGCAGTTCTTTTGCCCATCATCAAAATGGTGACTTCAATATTTCACATGTAAGTGCTTCAAGCGTTCAAAATGACTACGTTCCACTTTCGTAGCACTTTCCACTTGAGTGCTACCCAAGATTGTTCGTTAGGAGGAGAAAAGCGTTGATCGCATTGATTATACTTTCTTATTTCAAACTGAACTCTCCGGTTATTTTTGTAGCATGAAGCAGTTTATTTTGAATAAATGTCGTTGTTATTCCAAATGAAATCAGGCCCTTGAAGTTGCAGGCGTCGTCCACATACCCATCGTCACCTTCTGCGGCTCGTTCACTGAATGCATCACGCATTCAGTCAGGTGCTGGAGCCTTCGCTCCACCACCAGGTTTCGCTTCCGTTGTTTCCTCTCAAAGCACAGGGATCGGTGGAGCGAATCCGGCGGTGCCACCACCGTCTCTTAGGCCTTATTACAATACACAAATGCCGCCACCGGCCGGCTTGCCACTTCAGCCGTCTCAGCATGCCTCGTTCACAACATATAATAGGTGAGATGGTGTCTTGATAATGTGTTTAGTGATTAATGAAGTAATTTGTAATTTTTTTTTTCAGTCAGCACAACAATTGGATGTCATCTGGTCACGGGAAACAAACAGGCGGTTTGCAACAGCAATTGCCTTGGTGGAATTAGGCCACTTATTTTTGAATTGAAATGCTTTTCGGACAGAATTTAACTATATTCTCCCTCATGTAGTATTCCTAACATAGCTATCCTACTCATGTCAGCGTTGCCATTACCTTAACTTCTTTCATCACACAGTTCCTTCGTGTTCATTGTAGGACGTCTGACGCATAGTAAGGTTTGTTCGGGTTTTTCCTTGGTAGTGCGCATCGGGACGCTTCATCATGATTCCTGCTTATATTGCATCCTTTCTGGTGATTCAGCGTCACGACGTGTGTATATCATTGGTGTATTGCCTTTATATGGGTGCTACACCATATTGCACTTTTATGCACACGTTGTTGTTGATGTTAACGCTCTTATTTGCCGATCGTTCTATTGGTAATTTATCGTTGCGCTTCCTTTTCCCTCCCCCAGTTACTTTTCGCTCTATGCAGTTTCTTGAGTCACAATTCTTCTGTACTAGTATGCGCAATGTTTGCTTTCGGTCGACTGTCATTTATTCATACATGTCTCGACGATCACGTATGGCATCAAGTCCTGTGATCGTCCATCTACTTGTGATTTTCTTCTGAGTACGTCGGTGTTGCTCCCAGTCGGTCTTGTTATGTATGTTCTATTTTCTATTTGCAAATTTTTATCGATTATCATGATGACATCTCACACCCTATCGTATTGATTGCTACTTTACGAAGTTTGCGTTATGCTGCATTCTCCCTTAATCTAATAAAACTAGAGTTATTTCACAGTTTATTCACTTGCTGACCGATGAAGACGGCTGCGTATTTTTCGAGCATACTATATGAAATGTGAACAAATTTTGCAGTTTCGTACAGAACCTGTCTGTGTTTAGATGCACTTATCACGAGGGGTTGTACAAAAGTTGCTGAACGTATCCGGAGTTCCGCGATTTTCAGCGAGTCCGTTTCTGTATTCCAATTTTCAAAAATTCAGTCGACTGTTATTTTAACTGCTTTGTTATTTGTTCCAAATGATGCGCGTTGGTAAGCTAAGGAATTGCAATGGAATCGAGATAGACTGAGCAAGTTGGCTGAACTCATTTTTATAGGAGATAAGCGAAGCGCTAAGTTTTGAGTGCGCGGCTTTGCCGCTCAGCACAAGCTTTGACAAGAGGAGCTATGAACCGCATCTCCTGTGTTCCTTGCGAGTAGATACCCAATTCTAGAGTAGTTGCTCTCTGAATCGAAAATTCGAACTGACCCTTAGCTCACGAGTCCTGCTCATAGGCAAGTGTTAGGACCACTAGGTTAGGATGTAGTGATGTGCGCTCATTTTTTTGCTTGTCGGGGTTTGTTGGAATCAAAAGAGCGATTGTTGAAGGTTCTACCCTTTCCAACTTCTGGTTATTATATCAACAGCCATGGTTGCTTAGTTTCGTTAACATCTTTGAAGATGCCAATACTTCCTAACTTTCGTAAGAATTTTATATAGTTCAGTAAAAACACTCGATGAGTTTGCTCTCTTGCGTGCATCTTGTGTGACAGGAGTTTTGGAAGCTCTGATTGAACCTACAGTGTTCGATACTTTCAGTGCGCTCCCTGTATATTCAAATCCAAGAGACGCCAAATCCATTGTCATTAAAGTTTCTACCAGGTCAAGCAATTCTTGATGTACCAAGAACATATGAATTCACCTCTGTCGCAGCGGCAAAAGATAGTCCACTCGCTAGGTGAGATGTTGTTAATCGAGAGTTGGAGCAAAATTTAAATGTGTGCATGAATTGAACCACCAAAAAAGCAAAACCGATCAAAATGCTCAATTCACTAATGACATGAAGCATTTTTGCAGAGAATTGTTCCACATTAATGGCGTACGCTCGGTTTTTTTCGGAGAGGATTTCGTTACGGTCACAAAGAAAGATGAAGAAATCGACTGGGCGCTCATACGAGCGGAAATTTTGTCGACTATAACCAATTTCATGGAGTCAGGAAAACCGGTAATCGATGAGGGTGGATCAGGTCCAGCGTACGAAGATACAGGTGAGCCCGCCAAGGTGATTTTATTACTTCTTTCTTTTCCTTCTGATTCAAACGAAGTCAAATATTAGTGTTTCAATGCTCAATATGAGCTATAGTACATGATTAGTAATTGTCACTGTTGAGAATGATTTCAGTGATTAATGAAGACGACGATGACACGGTGGCAATGATCAAAGAGCTGCTAGACTCAAGAGTACGGCCAATGGTACAGGAAGATGGCGGTGATGTTAAATACATGGGATTCAAAGACGGCGTTGTCAAATTGAAATTGAAAGTACGCTGTAAATTTCTATTTCCTGTTTACCTAATTGGATTTGAGTCTCACGGGGAGTCTTGTCCGGGTAATGGAATATTCGTTGTTTTGCGGTCGTCATTTCGCTTTTCCCAACATCCACGGTATCGATCAATCGTTTTTCCCTCAGGAGCAGTAAAGTTATGCTAAAAGATTCTATACAGTCAAGATATTGAGTTGGGATCAATAACCTATTCACTCACGCTTCAAGGTGCTTGTGAAGGTCTCTAACATCCTGATACCCTAATCAGCAAAAGTCGAGAGCATAGGCTGCTTTCATAGTCCGCCGGCCGGCGCGCGTGCCGGCGTGCCGGCGTGCCGGCGTGCCGGCGCGCGTGCTGGCCGGCNCTAGCACTGCCTCCGCCGGCACGCCGGCCGGCGGACTATGAAAGCAGCCATAGCGTATCCGTAAGGCACCAACTACTACTACCGTAAGGCACTGGTGGACGTTTTTCGTTTACGGCAAGGATGTTTGATCCCTGGGTTTTGCCCTGACCGATTGGTTATTTTTAAGCAGGACACTGCAAAAGTACAAATTTATGAAGCAATATAAAGCCGGGTGAGGACTAACCTTATTGGCAGTTGTTTTTGATGTTCAGGGATCGTGTACGGGCTGCCCCAGTTCTTCAGTCACGTTGAAGTCTGGAATCCAAAATATGTTGCAGTTTTACGTTCCAGAGGTTGGTTACTTTATTAGACTTTTGACTGAATTGTAGCGAAATGGTTTCACGTAAATTGCAATTTTTTTATTTTTTGTTTATCTAGGTAAAGGAGGTGATAGAAGTAACCGATGAGGCTGATGACCTCGTACAACAGGAGTTGGAAAAATTCGAAAAATCTCGAGGTATTACTGACTAACTTTGGTTCGATATCCTTTCCTAAGTAAGATGAAGTGGAGCAGAGTTCTAAATCTTAGATTCGATAGCTTCAGTTCTGAAGGATTATTGTAAATTGGAGAAAGTCATTTATAGCTGTGACGTTCTGTTTCACTATTTACCTAGTAATTATTGCCGTGATACTGTACTTGATCCGTTCTGATAGCACTATTACGGCTACCATATGTACGTGCCATAAGTTTCTCGAAATCACATCCTTCATTGGAAATCGTCCACTAATGAATCCTCTTTGTTTTCTCTGTGAAACTTGTTTATTTACTACTACAATAATGTCTATGAATCGCGACGGCTTCAGATTGCACTAAATTTGAAAGTCCTTCCATATTATTGCGAACTATACATTTATATAGACAGGCGCTTCTCGATGGCATTGTGAACTACTAATTTTTGCTGCCCAGAGTTACGAAAATGGCGAGCGGTTGCGTTGCGTTTCAGTTGATTAATTTATACCTATTCTGCTGAGGGAGTGTAATGCTTACTCCTAGAATGATGAAGTACAGCAGGATCTAGCATCACTAAACATTGGATTGTACGATTTCAAGTCATTTGCATATACAAGTAGATACCCATAGGCTTGCTCAAAGTTTTTATCATTCTTTGTATCAGTTTTGTTTGTTTTTCGAAAGGATTATTTTATATAAAGTATTCGAATACGTTTTGTTGTACGAGTGGGGAAAGTCTTTTAATCATCACTAAAAATTCGAAATCATAATGGGAGTATATTGAAACCATAAAAAAATCGTTGAGATGAACGAAATTGATGTGTGCCGTCAGATCAGGATGAGTGCATGCAGCGAACGTAGTTTCAGCGAGACCTTCCTATGCTATCGATATGATGTAAGTCAGGATCTACTTCTTGTTAATCTACTCCCTTTATATTGCCTCATGCTGAGAACACCCTTACTCACACACGGTGTTGCTGATAAACTACCGTGTCAGGCGGGTCAACGTCAGGTTTTCGCTGCTGATAAGACGATTTCAGACTCAACGCAGCCCTTGCATTACCGCTTCATAACCATTTTCTCTCTAGGAGATATTGTAATTTTAGATTTAATGCAGTGGATTTTCGTCCTCGTAAACCTTATGGGACCGTGGGAAAGGGTGGCTAATTCAGGCGAGTCCGGAACCGACATCCATCAATAATCACCCCATTGCAATCACTTGAACTGGGCGTTTCTCATCAATATTGCCTGGTGATTTTAACTGAGAGTGTCGGGATCCTGATTACCTACGCGCTGTATCCAATGAAGGTTCCCTTTGTGAGGATTTTCTTCGTGAAAACTTTGGTTAAGGACGACCCTTGCTGAATACACGACGACTCTCACTTCTGAGTTACGGTAGATGGAATTGTCGTATGGCTCGAAGGATTTCCTGCGGGTCCTCTGTATTTCACACTGGGGCTGTTCTGATGAACTTCCACGTTTTTGCAGTTGCGAAGCTCGAAGCTTCCAGTCAATGTTTATATAACAGTGTCGAATAGATTGAAATATCCATAACCAATCACCATACCCAGGCCGGTGGTGGGTGGGTCTTGCCAGAGTCTCAGGTAACGTGTTCCATGGGAAACATGCAGTAACATGCGGTTCCGAATAAAAATAGTCCACCAAAAAGGGAATCCATTTAAGGTGAGACTCCATCAAATTAGGTAGAGTCACGCTATAATACAAGTAAAGCGTTATGCATTTGCGTAGCAACATTGCACTACGGATAGACTATACAGCAAAAATGACAATCACAAGTCCCTGAAATCAAAAGTTCCAGGACTATGGGTCGCGTTCTTATTCTGTGTAGTTTTCTACCGTTTATACTTGCTGCTCCCTTCTCGAGCGATGCGACGTATTCGGACGCAGTCGCACGGTCGAAAATGCTGCCATTAGCAGCGGCCGCTTACGGAAAAGCACCACAAACATGCCTCACAAATCGCTTCACCAACGCCGTGGTAGGTAAAGTTATTGAATTTTTGGAAGCATTCAATAAATAATTCATTGTTTGCGCTTGATGTTAAGCTGAAACGTCAACTGAGCGTGAAATGTGGCCCTGTTGGAAAAGAAGATAAGTGTTCTGGATATTCGGCTGTACTCAATAGCGACAAGGCAATCGTTCTCAGTTTTAGGTAATATTTTACCCAAAGAGTGCTGACTAGTGACCACAAGGAAATAGTAAGTTGACCTGCTAATTTCAGGGGTACCGATACGTTTCTTCAGCTCATCATGGAATCCGACCAAAGTGTCTTCAACGAACAGGTGATTTTTGTGGTATATCTGTTTGGGTATGTGTACGAACGTGCGTCCGAGGATGCGCGCGGCAAACTGCGCGGCGATGTTCGTAATGATTTGAACGAATTTGGCGCCTATCATTCAGGCCCAAATTTGAAATAGAGTAAATTAGGAGGATCATCTGACCCTAATAAACTACACTACTTCGAGTTTGTACCCCAAAAATTGGNGTCAGAGTCGTACAAATGATCACGATCTTCGCCGCGCAATTTGCCGCACGCACCCTCGGACGCACGTTCGTACCGTCCTCCTATCTGTTTGCAAATAGGAGCAAGTACGCGGCGCAATGGTTGGAGGAGTTTGCCCAATGGTTTATTAGTACTTAAATTCTTTTTGAAGCCTTGCCCCCCACATAAATTGACTCTCCAGTGCAATAGTAGGAGGACATAAACCGATACGTAATTTCTGGGAAAACCAAGTATGATGAGACTGTATGTACTTGAATATTTCAAGCTTTCTATTAAAAGCACAGTCCTGATAAAAATGCCTACATATGAGGTATCCTACTAGAATCGGTCTGTAGCCCTTCGTATACCATATGTCAGGTCGGAAAACGGCTTAGATAGGGCGTTATGAAGGCCTAAAGATTGTCCCGTGTGTATGCGCGGACCACTTCCAACGGCATTGTAGAGCGTGCACCATTCACAACGGAAACCTAGGCAGGAGGTTCAAACAACTTCTCATGACCATTAGTGACAGTGAAATGCAGTTCTGCACAGTTCCTGCTTGATATAGTCAGCTCTTTGCGCAATTGCAACAACTGAAATCTCGTCCAATTACCCCTTCCATGTTATTTTCGTCGTGGCAATCTCGTCCAATCTCTATTTTCCCTACTTTTGAGCAGCATTATTTTTCACTGAATCGACGGGTTTTCTCGCTTCCTTCACCGCCGATGCACAATACTCGACCAATACTTCCGCTTTTCGACTCAAAAGGTTACCACGAAACTATCGTGAACTGTGCCTTCCAACATCATCGGCTGACCACCGCAAGTCATTGAATAGGCCAAATACGCATTCAAACGCCTACTACGACCTTCACTGGAAAGAGGGTGTGAGGGGTGTGCCTCAACAATGGGAATGAGTTACGCCAATAACATGATACTTATCCCAACATTAAGGCTGATCCGCATATCGTCGTTGAGCTGGGCTACTCTGACTTCACATAGATGATATAGAAGCCGAAAGTTAGTAGTCTTACCTTGATTCGGGGAATTCCAGGATTCAAAGAATTCCAATCAAAACAACCAAAAACTCTAGCCTCGTTTATGGCACCACCGGGTCTCTCTTATCGTTGCTTTCTTCGCGTGACGCATTTTCATCGTTATCTGGGCAACTCGATATCACCCTATTTACCTACAGCACTTTCCATTGAAAAAAGTAAGAAAACTTATACTTTGGTGTTTACTGGGAACTTGTTTAAAGGGTTCTTAGATTGACTTCTGAACTGAATAACTTTGTAATCCTTACCATTGGCGGTAACGAAATCGCAAAAAGAGAGGCTAGGGAAATGGGTATTGCAAAAGGTGTCTTTTCCACACGAATGACAAGTCAACCTTTTTTTATTTTTCATTAATGGGTAATGGATTGACTGGAATTGATTGGAAAGTCGGCTCAAAAACTATCATATTTTGAGCAAAATTTGTATTAGAGAATTTGGATGGAATTCTAAGATTCTTTCCCATGTTTGATATCAAGCTTTTTTAGTGTAAAGGAAGTAAAAAATTGAGTCTACTGGTTAAAAATTCGTTACCACCTTGTCCGTTATAGTTGGCTTTGCCATTTAAGCGGTGTTAAACTGACACTCGATATACAGAATCTAAAAAGGGAGACAAAACTTCATCAACCTAGATTATCAATGCTGACTACGAAGACAAGTGAGGGTTGTTCCAGAACGGAAGTTATAAATACCAATCACCTCCATCCTGCCTAAAGTCTTTAGTGTGTCATTCAGATCTCATGGATCGCTGGTGGCAAAGTGTCAAAATATTTCAACGACGCTTTCATGGACTTATGGAATGGTGGTATGAAAGACGATTTCAATACGCTCCGATCAAAATACCCCTCATATCAAGTTTGGGTATGTTTATGGTAACCGTGTTCGGTTTTTTAGTCCCTACAGAATCAATCGAATCCAAAGATATCAGTAGGTAGATTTTTGAACAACCCTCAAGCTGTTATTGACCTAATATACCGAAGACGATTGTGCAAAAACTAATCATTTTGTATACGCAGGCGTACTCTGTAGATTCTATGGCTTTTAGACTTTTTCCCTATAGGTGACTGGTCACTCCCTCGGAGGAGCGATGGCCACATTGGCAGCTTCCTATATCGTCGCTGCCAAGCTCGTACCAGCTTCAAGCGTCGAATTGGTTACTTTTGGTCAGCCACGAACTGGTAACAAGGATTTCGCATCAGCTCATGATAAACAGGTATCACTCACATTGAAGGGGTTCGATCGAGAGCCGGTACTAACATGGGTACCATTTTCGGCTGACAAAGACCATCGGAAACTATGTTTATCCTGTACTGCGCCTTTAACTTACTATTTGAAACCACTATTTTTATTTACATTTAGTCGATGTTCTGTTATCGGGTAACCCACTGGAGGGATGTTGTACCGCATGTGCCCCCAGAGCACCTGGAAGGATACCATCATCATAAATCTGAGGTTTGTATGGCTTCTAATACTTGGTATGGTCTAAACTGCATCCGATCTTCTAGTTTGGATTGTTTCAACTAAATAAAAATGGTTACGAATGTCATGTGGGTATGCAATAAATGTAGACCACATATGAGAAATTCATTTTCAGGCCTTCTATCACAACAACATGAAGAGTGGTGCCACATTCAAAATATGCGACGGTAAGTAATCTGAAATTGTTCGATCAGTTCGAGTCAGGCATAAAAAAATAAATTTAGCCGATGAGGACAAGGACTGCAGCGATGGATTGGATATCACGACGTCGATATCTGACCATCGTCACTACTTCGACATTGACGTCAGCGATTACGGAGAGAAGGGTTGTAAATAGACGACAATCTTTTTCTATATCGTTGACGATTATACGATATTTATAAATTTTTCGCGAGAAGAAGATATTATTTCTATATTTTAGTATACAGACTGCCAGGAGCTGAGGCTGAAGGATAACGTTACTTCACAAAATGAGCATTTAAACCATACGCTCCTATGTGAGCACATTGCTCGATATTGGCATTAACAGTGGCTCATCACAGCAATAATGGATCTACTCCCACCTTGCCATAGGGTCAAATTTCTTGATTTATGGGCAAGTTTTCAACTTTTCTCGGGTTCAAGGGGGTTTGACTGCCTTCAAAAAAAAAAAATACCTATCTTCCGGTTGGTTCAAGCAGCAGTTCCTGTTTTTCTTCTATCTCATCGAGGTTATCCCGAACGCAAGCTATTTAAACGATTACAGGCTTACGATTGGCTCTCTTTCTTTGATTTGACTCTTGAAATTTTTTTTTTGGCTGGACCAAAAGTAGCAATGATGAACCGGTCTCTATCAGCAAAGGCACACTTCGGTATTGGAAACTGTACTCACCAGTCCGTATCCATTCCTCATATGCCATGGTTCAATTTCTTGGAGCACTTTCTGAGACAAAAGAAATTCCGCCGAGTCAAACATTCACGAAGAAAAAAGGCTGATGGGCTTCGAGGGATGACGGCGAGTCCTACAGGTACAGGGGGTATTATTTTAGAACCGACAAGTGGTATAAAGGTATCGACACTGATGGTGCACAAATTATTCGGCATTGTTGAGTGACCTTTCATCGGAAAGAAAAACAATATTCATTTAATAATTGCTCGAATTCTGAGCATTTTTCTCAGCATTACTGAGGCGATATCGAGCAGAAGTTGAAGATATGGTGACGGCCAGGCAGTCAGTAGCGAAACCATTCTTAATTTCGAATGTTTCGTATCGAAAGCGGTACAAACCGAAAAAAAAACCGATTTCAGTACTCTCTGAACAGCGGTGCGCTACGTCATTTTACCTGACGAACGTAGTATGGTAATTGTAAACCATTGACACATTATGTAAGCTCACAAAAACGTAAACGTAAAAACGAAGCTCCGAATTGGAGTGCAGGTTGAATGATAAGAAAAAATAGCGCTTGGTGCCGAAATGACGTGAGTTTGAACACTCTCACGTCATTCTTTACATAGCCCTTTATGAATGTGTAAAGGTACCGAACCAATACACATCAGGATCAAAGCTAAATTTGAGGAATCACAAAAAAGTACATCAGATACGTGAAGATGTCTGGATCCTCGAAAAGTTAGTATGGTGCAACACATTGGGCTCAGATATTCAGAAAAAAGATAACACACCAGCTAGATTCTCTGAACCATCTATTGTTATCATTCAGACTGCCAAATTATTCCTGAAGCTTTTCGGTTCAGACCCCTGACTCATGGGCCAATACTGTACTTGAGAACGATAATATCGTTGTCAAATAGAACTTGTCGAATATTGCCATCATGCTACACAGCTTGCCCATAAGTGTCAACATGTTACTGTATTTATAAAAGCAGCCTCTTAAAAAAGCTGTGGTGAAACTTCTCCAGATTCTGCCTCCTGGGCTGAGTGTCGTTTTCAACATCTAAGCAAGCAGCTAAGTTGCTACCGCACTCTCTGTTTCTCTATAACAACTTGTTAACCATCTTTCATTTAGAACTGATTTTGTAAGGGTCATGGCGAAGAGCCTTGGGTTAGCCATAACTACCAAGCCTATGAAGCACCGTCAAGGTATCAAGGCTTCTGTTCCACTACCAAATGGAATGGCGTAGTTCATAACAACGAATTAAGAGGCCTAAGCTATTTATATATTTATCACTTTTTTGCATCGCACTCATCATCTTCATTGATGTTTCTCATTTGAGACCGCGGTGATCGGATAGCAAGAAACACGTTGATCATCAGCAGTAGGAGAGAGGTTGTTTTGAAAGCAACTGATCTTTACAGGGTGCTGATAATTTCGTGTAATCCACTTCAGCCCACTCATTCTTCAGTCTCTTTCCCTGAAAACCCGTTAAGCCAAGAGTTTTTGTAATTCGCTACCGTCTTCTCCTGATAACACTACAAAGGACGACCGTTTAGCCTGTACTTATTCGACTGCCAGCAGGATTGACGGTGCAGACCTGTCATTTTCAAGCAAATTACGGTATTCTGAGCACGCTACCGTATTGTAATCGCTCAAAATACGTAATTTACCTTCTTAAAGTATTCTACATTAACATCTTTCAGCGAAATGCTACTTATCCTCTTCTTCTGCGGTCTTCTTCCGTGTACCCTCGCTTTCCCTTGGTGGGACAAAGCTCCGCTCTATTCCGATGAGCTTGCAAGGACAAAGATGTTACCGTTGGCTGCTGCGGCCTATAGTAACAGGCCACAGGAGTGTCTTAAGAACCGCTTCAAGGACGCTTCAGTAGGTGTCATTCAAGAAGCTATCGAAATTGGGTGGTAGGAGTTCAGAAATTCAGCTACAACATCAAGGGAATGTGACATGTGGTCCATTCGGTAACAACGACATTTGCTCTGGTTTTACAGCAGTGCTCCACGGAGATCAGGCTATTGTCATCAGTTTCAGGTAAGCGTTTAGAAAAGAGAAAAATCATTATGGCTTGAGGTGTGCATTTCAGAGGAACCGACACATTCCTTCAACTGCTTGCCGAAGCTGACTATTCTGCATTCCACAAAAAGGTGCGTTTCAGCTATTTAGTTATCGGTGCTTAACAGATGCTCATTGATTTGTAGTAGTCAACAGCTAATTAAGCTACCTCGAAAACGCTTAGAAATCACTACGTGTACTACCAGTGAGCCATTACTGGAGCCAGAAATCAAAAGGTGCATCAATTTCCCCTTATTGGAAATTCTTTTGCGAGTTCAGCAATGGGAGGAAACCCACAGTTTGACGACTAGGAATTTTTGAAAGAAATTAGCGCATCCGCAAATTTGTGCGCACAGCTTTCTATGAACCTCATCATATCTGAGTTGTTCTGTTGAAGTCCTTACGAGGCTCGTATATAGGCTTCATTACACGAAAACCTTATTCGGCTGGCGCTTCGACAATTTTCAGAGCTTGAAATAATCCGAACAATTTGTCAATGTCCTATCAAACATTTCAACTTCCCGCTGTTTCCAAAAGCTAACGTAAGTGGCCCTCCTTCGATTTATGCCCTTGCCCTGGGGGTTCCGGGTGCGGGCAGTGGAGAAGTTCAACCGGATAGCCAAAAATTGTTACGATCCTCTCTGGCTGTGAGGTGTGAACGTGAGCTAAGTAAAGCATCAATTTGGAAAAGGAATACTTTCAGATGACCTTAGCTCTAATGAAAAAACGACTTCGAAAGAGAGATATATCAGCTTCACATGAACGATACCCATGAAAATAATCAGAAGCAATATGAGGGCGAACATCAGAAATCAAACAACAACGACTTTCTGTTCATTAGGCAAGCGCTGACTCCTTTATCATATGTAGCTACCAATTCAGAAATCATTTTACCATTTTATCAGAACACAAAGCACATTTCAGTATTTTGTAGAGAAAAGAATGACAATACAATCTGACTGTTTACCTACATAGTCCACTTCAACTGCTTTTCTCACCTTATAAAAAGCGAAATTCGAGTTCACAAAATGCTCCGCTGAAAAGGTTTCTGGCTCCAACATTCAGTAATCTATGGGAGAGTGAATTTCTAAAGGCGACCATACTAAACTTTGTAATCCTGAGTAGAAGCAGTTCCAGCATACCTACCTATCTATTCTTTTTTGTGCAAATTAGCCTAGTCAAGTAGGCCTCATCACAATGGAGTTCATTCAAGCACATCCAACCCAACCTCTGTTGAAGCCCACCATGTCCAAATTGACTACATCAGCCTTGGGTGCTGCCCAGTGGGCCCCAATCCCAAATAGAGCGGAAGTTTGACGGAATGCTGAAGAGCATACTACTGAAACGACCATTAAAGAAGTGGGATTTGATCCTATTCTGCATAACAACCGCTAGATCCCCCCATGCTTGGCATGGTGGAACGATTAAGCTAATATAGACTCACCGAAGTATATTTAACATTCTATGCGGACATCCACTGAGTGCTCCACCAGAAGCGGATTAAATGTGAATTTCTCACTTCGAAGACACAGTTTAGGATAGTTTCGGCGTACTTACTTGAGACGAATAGTAAAAGCGGTAGTCCAGAATAAGCAAAATTGGCGAAGAAAGAGCTGAAATCTGCCAATCTAGACATTGCGCCATTATTACGCCCTGGCTTTTTTCGACCCCACAGCGTGTTTTGGGCTACCCCTTGGGGTCACAAGTTCATCATAGAGAAAATCGTAGAATCGTTTTTTATTGGGACTGCACCCTTATCTTCATTCGTTACCCATTAACTTTGAATGAGCAGGTTCCATGGATTGCTGGTGGATACGTGTCGAGGTATTTTTATGATGGCTTCATGGGCTTATGGAATGCTGGCATGGGCGCGGACTTCAACGCTCTACAGGCAAAATATCCTTCATACAAAATCTGGGTGAGTGTTTGAGATCCAGCGGATAAGTGAAGAAGGGACCTGGATGCCCGCGTTTTTTAGACCTATAAGCAGCGATCCCTTTGAGAGCCCGACTTTTCTATTCTAGGTGACTGGACACTCTCTAGGAGCAGCGTTAGCCTCGCTGGCTGCATCCTACATTGTTGCCGGCAATGGTGTCCCATCCTCCAGCGTGCAATTGGTCACATTCGGTCAACCACGAGTTGGCGACGTGCTCTTCGCATGGGCTCACAATTTACAGGTGCCTATCAATCCTTATACGTTTATGGATGGAACTATAGGGACGCCCTGCCGGAATGATTGCAGTGGTTGAGATTTTCTTACGGAACTTCGAGAGCATTCAGCATATTTTCTGAAAGTATTCATAGAAATACTATTCAAAGAAACTCCAACTTGTTGGTCCACTTTTTTCAGTTCGCTGCACAGACTAATGACATTGGACAGCAAGTAAAACACCGTGAACTATTCTGAGCATGGTTTAGATGGTCTTATAAGAATATTTTCCAAATATACTCAATTTTCGGGCGGAGGTGGTGTAGGGGCCAGTGGCGCACTATCTCACACGCACGGCCAAGGGTTGAAATCCCTGATCGATATTCGCTTAGGCCAACCAAGCCTTCCATCCCTCCGGGGTCGGTTAATTGGTACCTTGGTCATTGGTCTAGGGGGATAAAAAGCTTTGACTTGTACATCGGCTGGCCACCGCAAGTCATTGTATAGGCCACACACGCACTCATTACGCCACTACGATTCTGAATGCAAGTCGAGTGCGGGGCGCATCCCTCAGACGGGATTGATTGACGCCAAAAACTTTATCCTTTATTTAACTTTAACTCAATTTTCAGATGTCTTACAGTTTCCGTGTGACGCATTACAGAGACATTGTACCGCACGTCCCGCCAGAGCTCTTCGAAATGTATTATCACCACAAGTCTGAGGTTGGTATGAATTTCGATTAGGTACGACCTTTGCTCTGAAGAAAACTAGAGTTGAAGGTCTACTTCCTATTCTGACAGTTAGAATCATTTATGATCAACAGAACATGTCCGCCCCTCATTTAGGCAAAGTCAATGAGTGTTTTTCGTTCTCATACAATAACGGTGGGAGCCAAGTTCATGGCGCATACTGAATTTTCGTTTTTTAGCTGTAATCTGCCTCCTGATTATTCTGCATTACTTTCTCACATCCACTTCGCATTCGGTTGTGATATGTTTTGATTAAACCTTTTTTCAGGCCTTCTATCTACAGAGCATGGCCATCGGTGCGAACTATACGGTGTGCTACGGTAGGCCGTTTAGTGCAATTTAAAATGATTTGCGATTTTCACGGGAGTCAACTATAAGCGAATACTTTCAGCCGATGAGAGCTTAAGATGCAGCGATGGTTTGCTGGATACGACATCAATCAAAGACCACCTCCACTACTTCGAAGTTGATGTCAGTGAGTATGGCAAAGCCGGTTGCAATACACCAATGGATTCCACAAATGCAGTATTGAAGGTGTAATTACATGCCGAAAAGATGACAATAAATATTCTGCAGCAATCCAAACCCGCAGTCGAATACGAATTGCACAACATTTAGACCTGAGATGGAATATCGTTAAAAAACAGGCTAGACCCCCCAGCGATTCCTTGAGGTGGATAGAAGGAAGTAAGGAACGGTTGTGAAAAATGGATGAAATTAGGAAAACCTGTAGAGCGCCTATTCTTGATCAGGGTTCGAAAGCGCGTCATAAGTGCCTAGTTCAACTCACATGAAGCATTCATTTTCTTTTGATCCTTTTTGATATTTAGGGAACCTGATGTGTTGAATTATGTATTTCCATTGTCTAACAGAAGAAACGGAGTCCTCGAAAAAAAAGGAATGGGACGTGAAGTCATTAGTGAAGGCTACGTCCCGTATTCAGTTATTACATGAGCTGACGAGAGGCGAGGTTATAATGGGGAAAGAAATGCTCCATCGCGGTGTGAACCCTTATGCTCAGGCACAGCTGCTTCTTTTGGGCCTTTTTATGGCAATGTGAGGCTATATGAGCACTGTCTGACAAACGTGGAACGGCAAGCTCCTGGTTGCTATAAAAAAGCTCCCGGAAATTAGCATCTTTGCAGTAACTGGTACATAGTCGTGTCACGTTTTATGTGAGATCGCTGGGCAGATTTCATAATTTGGTGAGTTTCACCACCGATCTATTCAAAAGTGCAGTGAACTGGGTGAGCAGTGACGTGGGGATGATGATAAAAATGAATAAAAAAAGAGAGGGCATCACTCGAATGCGATCCTTTGCGTAGTTCAAACTTTCCCTATTATCGCTGGTTTTCAGGCAGCCGCTCAACACCATCACTGCCTCCTCAGAAGGTATGTGCTCAGGCATAACCCACTTTTCTATTCTAGTCCTCTTTAGGATTATTTCAAAATTTTGATGAGCTTTAACTGTCTAGACAGACTTTCTGCAAGTGCCAAGCAACCCATTGACATGATCTCTGTCCTATCTTCTCGTCTGCAACGCCGCAAATCCTATTACTGTAATTCACTGCCTAAAGTAGAGTTAGCATAGGGCTGGTGCAACTGAATTCGATAACTTTTTATGACGGAATTCTGATTTAAAAAGATCGGTGCGTATCGTAGTCACATTTCACGTAGATCGCCGCCAGTGAGGAGGGCTCCCACCCTGAAACTAGGTTTCCTGTGCCTCCAGGTGTACTAATTAATTCTAATGCTTCCAGTAAGGGTTAGAAGACTGGTTAGTACAGAAAATCTCGATCTTCCGTATTTGCTGCTGATTTATTTTGAAGTTCATTTTGAGTCCATAGTAATGCACACTTGACTGGATGATAAGCATTTACGTAATACCGTTTATTACCAGTATTGCCCACTCCACCATATCCTTCTACTCGTCTTTTATATTAGCTATCCCTTTTTGGAATGTACAGCGTCTTGAATACGGAGAGCTGGCATCACTTATGAGCGCCAGTAGGCTACGTTTCATCGAAATGAGCAGAGCTCAACAAATTTGCAGCAAGCTTCGCCCGTCATCAGCCTTTTTCAGCCGACAGCAAGATTTCCAAGTAATGCTGCTTGGTCTTGTCGTTTGTGGACTTCTTCTCTTCACACGTTCATCACCGACCCCGTACAATGTGACGTATTCGGATATGGAGGCTCGCACGGAAATGTTTCCGCTGGCAGCGGCTGCCTACAGTAAGCAACCTCAAGAATGCCTGAACAATCGGTTCACTAATGCTACGGTAAACATAATAACTCGGTATCTCACAAATGATCGAAAAGCGATTAACTTTTTCGAATATTCAGCTAAAACGGCAGTTATTTGTGGTATGTGGACCATTGGGGCGGAGCGATATGTGCTCAGGATTCACAGCTGTACTTCACGACAAAAAAGCAATTGTTATCAGTTTCAGGCAAGACAATCCACCCAAATAGGTTCTCTTTTTACTGTTTAGGGTCTGATTTTCAGAGGAACAATAGCTTTTATTCAGCTTGTTATGGAAGCCGACCAAAGTGTGTTTTATCGGAAGGTACGTTTCGTTTCTTTCAGTGTGTGATATATTATTTACAAAACTGTCATGAGGTACGACTTCAGAAAAGGCTCCATGAGGTGCGCCATGCATTTGCATAGAGTAAAGCTATTTACCTGACCGAAACGGCTTTTTCGAGTTTTGTGGTTTCCATTCCAAATCTCAGATTCCTTGGATTGCTGGTGGTTACGTATCGAAATTCTTCTACGACGGTTTCATTACGCTATGGAAAGCTGGGATTGGGGATGATTTCCAAGCACTAAGGACGCAGTATCCTACGTATGGCATTTGGGTGAGCGGAGGTTCCATTGCGGCTTATCTATGTCTCGTTAGCAAATACCGTTGAATCCGTTCTTCAAATTCATTTGGACATGTAATGGAATTCATGAGATCTAGGTTACTGGACATTCACTCGGAGCCGCCATAGCTTCACTAGCCTCATCCTACATTATTGCTGTCAATAAAGTCCCGTCTGAAAGCGTGAAATTGGTCACTTTTGGTCAACCAAGAGTTGGCGACACTACATACGCTATGGCTCATGACGAACAGGTACTCGAAGTTCTTATCCATCCATCTATGGCGAATGAAACCATTCTGTGCCCCAATGAAGACTTGATTTTTCGGGCTTCTGTGGAATGCCCTCTATTTTCAGCTAGCCTTCAGTTTCCGCCTTGTACACTGGAGGGACATCGTGCCTCATGTTCCACCACTACTGTTCCTAGACTACTATCACCATAAATCCGAGGTGGGAAACGAATTCCATTTTGAGAAAAACCCTTTCCGTATTGAGTAGGAATAGGTGACTGTACTCGTAAAATTTGCGAGCAGCATACCGAGTGACGAAGACGTTTTTTCAGGTCTTCTACCAGGAGAACATGGCAGTCGGTGTTAACTACACAGTATGCTACGGTAGGGCCTGCGGTGTTTTTTCATCTCCCAGTTTTACAAGAAGTATTAGTGATTCATATTCAGCCAACGAGAGCCCTAACTGCAGTGACGGGCTGCAGTTTCCGACATCAATTTGGGATCACATCCACTACTTCAATGTTCACGTCGGTCATTATGGCAAAAACGGCTGCAATACAACTTTGGATTCTGCAGAGGCGCAGTAGAAAGTCATACTGTTTTCGTTACAGTATACTTCAAATATGTCAGTAGTTCTTTATCAGTCAATAAATCTTATCAAAAAGCAGGTGCGTGCAACACTTCAACGGTAAATTAGCACCTAGGTGACTTAACAAACACGAGCTCCTTCCTGTCAGCAGCGTCCCTTCCCGGTTCCTCGTGCCCGAAGTTGAAGAAGTAGTAAACCGCCCACCTTTTTTCCTCTATGTCTAAATTGAAGTCCTGCTCCGCTAGAAGCAAGAAATATGCCAAAGCGCATTCTGAACGAAATTCACTTAATACACTCGACAGGAGCGCACTGCTGATACCGCATCATACTCCGCTACGCATTTCTGCTCAACTCCTAATTTTTATTTGTAACTAGAGAAAGACTAGAGAATGTAGTGGTAAGTAGCGCACTACAACACTTGCATCGTCCAGGGATCGATGCCCACCAAGGCCAACCGAGCCTTCCATTCTTCCGCAGTCGGTTGGCTGGTATAACACTCGTCTGGAAAGATTAAATCACTGGCTTTTACATCGGCTGGCTACTGCAAATCATCGTACAGGCCGCGCACGCATTCAACACCCCATTAGAACCCCGAATGGAAGTCGAAAGATAGGGTAAATTCCGAAAACAGAATTGATTAACACCTTACCCTTCTTAATCAAAAAGTCACGGGTCTTTTCCCCCGAAAATGTTTCTACGCTAAATCATAAGCAGTAGGATAGTGTCCCTAAATAATTTGGGATCTCATTATTATCCCCTTTTCCGAGCAAACTGCTTAGGAGATTACCATCCTCCCGATATTCGAATACGGTAGTCGACATTATGTGGATCTGCGTACGATACACATTTTTGGCTCCACTGTTGAATTTCAAAGTGTTTTCATTTTCAATTATTATTTCGACATGTAGCTGTTTCAGTCTCCAATTTAGGCCTTAAGTGGCGCAAATATCCTCCTTCTTCTTCATTCCCGACTTCTCTTTCTTATTCCTTTCGCTTTCGTACTCACTAGTGCCCACCTGCGTAACTTGCCGCTCTATAGCTCATATTTATAAAGACTTCCATTTCTAACTTCCTAGTCAGTGTAGCTAAAGCTGTGGAGAGATTGCCTAACTATTTGTGTTCGTTAAAAGCGTCTTTGAGAATTCGAAAACTCACTAGCAGTTCCGTGGTTTCGGTGTAGGGGGAACCGATTGTGAGAAAGAGTGAAAGATGTTAGTGAATTGTAAGCAGAAATGATTTGTTCATTTGTATATTTGTAACAACTGTATTTGTTGTGTTTTATTCTTTCGAGAGAGCAGTTACCACTCACGTGTGGCAACTGCGTTATCAAAGCATTACTTGATTTCCAAGAATTCTGAGGTAAACTGATGAGCCCAATGGCGCGAAAATTACTGTCGGATTCTTCAGAAACCTATTTTTTGTCATTCATCTATATTTAATTTAATGTGATTTAGAATCAGTCCGATTGTAGTGCCCTTAACCAGGTCTACTGTAGAATCTTTTGCAGTTTCTGTGCGACAATCGCGCTCTGGCTGCATACCCTCCCTACAAATGTCTAACATAACACCAGGTCTCATTTCGCATCAATATATCCTTTTACTCTAGTTTGTGTAAATTTTTGAATGTTCAGATACATCCATTGAATATGGGCACTTTGCAACTATGCTGATTGTTCCTTCCCGACGGTTCATATCGAAGTAGGGTGGCCTCGGGAAGCTAATTCGTGAGTACGTTTTGTTCTTTTGCTTAGTTTCATTATTAGTCGTGCCAACCGGGTGAAGCCAATCGGTCTAAGACATCGACTATCTCCGAATCTTTTTTCCCTTCTTTTTCTTGAACTCGGGCTTGCTACAAAACGTCCTCACGCGACGTTTGCGGATATTTCTTCTGCTTCAGATCAGATTTTGTTTTTCTTACGCTTCAGTTCCTTCGCCCGCCCGCTTACGAATACTCGAGGAAATCTTGGAAATCTCATTTCATTCTCCTTGTTTTTATCATCATTGTAACTGTTCCTTGGGCGTTGGCTCGTTTGCTTCTAGAATGTTGCTTATTTTTATTTATCCTGATGGCGATGCGTACCGATTTAGCGCTCTTACAGACGCTCTTGCAGTTTGGAATGCTGAAACGATATACCTATCAGATTGAAGGCACAGTTCACGGTAAACCTTGGCATTTGGTTCTAGAAGAATTATAGAAATGATAGTCCGGAATAATGCAAAAGTGGCGAAGAAAATCGGCGTATTCGGGGAATCATCGGGTTTCAAATGAGTTGGAAATTATTTTCTGAACGAGAATGTGACGATGAGCATCAGCATTCTGCCTTTCTAGCATTTGCTCTACAAATCAGCCCTCTGATAAGCTATGACTTGTTTGAGGTTTATTGTCATAATTGAGCTTCATGGCTTTCTAGGGTTCAGTCGTTGCATCCATAGTCGTGTTACAGCCGTTGATTCCATAGATACTGACATGAACGTCAAAGTAGTTGAGGTGATCCTGGATTGAAGTGGCGTAGTCCAATCCATCGCTACACTTTCTACTTTCATTGGCTGAATACGTAATATTCTTTTATGGCTATCACAGGAATGAAAATTGATTTCGGACAGCTGTTCATCTTACCATAGCATACGGTATAGTTGGCACCGATACCCATGTCGGCTTCATAGAAGGCCTGAAAACAACAGCTCAGCAGTCAGCAGCTCCTTCGCAAAGAGTTATAAATGTAGTTANCCTGTCTATCGTGGGCCTTTGCGTAGCCAACGTTACCAGTTCGAGGCTGTCCAAAAGTGACCAGTTTGATGGTAGCGGCTGGGACCTGCTCGACGTCAATTATGTAAGAGGCAGCTAGTGACGCTAGTGCTCCTCCGAGAGAATGTCCTGTCACCTGAAAGCGTCATATTAATGTTCTTAGAAAATTGATCAGGATTGTTCCCTATAACCAGCACAACTACAAATAGTGAGTGGGAGTTAAGCTGTCCTCCGTCTTTGGAGATCAGTTCTGGATTGTCAAAGTACACAGAGTATTGATGCATTCAGTTATTTCTACATGCTTCAATTAGCAGGTTGTACGAGCCAAACCACTATTCAGCAGGACAAAATTTGGTAGTCGAATCACCGTTCGAAAAAATGTTAAGTGCGAACAAATTGTTCCCCTACAAAAACGAAATATCGTCTGACAGTTCCACGCGGATACTCTTTTACACTTGAGATCAGGTTCCACAGCAGTGTGGCTTCGATTACTACACGCATGTCGCTCAGCATGCCTTTAACGCGAACATCGCGCGCGAAACTTTGTTCCGCGTGCGGTGTTGGCCATCGATGGCATCTCTTGAACCCACCTTCTCATTAATTACTTCCGAAATTTTGACGAGGGAACAACAAGTCTGAGTGCAGTGGTAACACAGAAGTGTGCGATCGTTCTGATCTGCACTTTTGAAGAGATACAAAGAGTACATCTAACTCACCCAAATTTCATACGTTGGATATATTGATCTCAGCTCATCGAAGTCGCTCCCCATACCAGCATCCCACAAGTACTTGAAAGCGTCGAAAAAGTACTTTGACACTTTCCCACCAGCGATCCATGAGATCTAATTTTTTAAAATTATTATTACTATTATTGATCGTATAGTACAATAACGATTACTCTCTATTATTATTTCCTATTATTGTTGAGAAGGCATTTCCAAATGAGCCAATTTCCGAGGAGAATGGCCTTTTTTTTCCGTGATTCATACACGAGAATGGGGCTAGAAAAGTCATCGCAACCACTAAGTCAGGGGTGCGCTTCGTTGCGCGCGTCCGTCGAAATTAGGTAATTAGGTCACGCCGCAGCCGTTGCATGCGGCGAAACGCCCACGATAATTGACAGACGCCGCAGCTGTCAGTGGGGCATACAATTTGCGCTTGATTCACGGCAGCCAGCTCAAAGAGAATATAACACGGACAAATGCAAATGATTCGCTACACTGACACTTGGTGGGACTGTAACGTCATTACGAGACCTCAGTGGGTACGCCGCACGCAAAGTAGGCGGGGTGACCTACTTTCGACGGACGCGCGCAACGGACGTTCTCCCTAAGTCAGAACTACGCCCCCCCTCAAGATGACCGTATGGGATCGCGGCATGGTTATCCCAAACGTCGAACCAGCTCTATCTTTGGCACTAATTAATTGTGAAGCATTTTTTCTAGTGAAAGCACTTCTCGCCATGTTGAGCTATTTTTCGTAGGTTTTTGTGGAAAGAGCGAAAATACCCAAAGCAACAAATTACAGAAGCATTCAACTTTACGTACTTTCAATAAGATTTTTTTTGTCCTACGTAATCGTGCCAAACCTTAAAGCTAGTTTTACAACAAAGACAGTTGATTCAGAGCCACTCAAAGTCGCGCAGAGGTTTTTCTACGTGATGACCGCGATTGCGTTTCCCAAATCAAACATCCCCGTGCCCCCACATGTACATGACAGATTCATCATTCCCATCCAGAAGTAGTAGTGGCTCAAGCGAATGAGGAAGGTTTGGGCTGACTTTCCATCTTCAGACACGTTTGACTGGGTCTTTGATTTACACTGGAGCGCTAACCTGCCTATCAAACAAACTTTGATCGGCCTCAGCAATGAGTTGGCTATAATCCTCAGTACCTCTGAAAGTAAGCTTTTTGTGCAGTAATTCAGGGAGGAAGAATATATTTTTACGAGAATCTAACCTGAAACTGATTGCAATCGCTCCGTCATCATGAATTACTGCCGTAAATCCGGAACATAACTCTTGGCTCGCCGTAGGACCACATGTTGAATTCACTTGACTTTTTAACTTAATATCCGTAATGGCAATAATTTTTTTTTGAATTTATGAAACTCTGAGTAACCAACTACTCCACTTACGGTAGCGTTAGTGAACCGATTTGCGAGGCACAATTCCGGCGAGTTGCTGTAGGCGGCCGCAGCCAATGGCAGCATTTTAGTTCGGGCGAACATATCCGAATACGTCGGTTTACGCGATATTGATTCGGCGAGTATGAACGTAACCAAATCGCACAGAGCGAGCAGGCCTAACATTCAGCTGGAAATGTTAGTTGTCGTTTGAAACTAACGGTCATATAATTATTAAACACGTTCATTTCATTTTTCATTTCATTTCATTTCACGTTCATTTAGTCCATAATGAGCAAAAATGCAAATACTAGAAAAGTTGTTCAAGTTTCTGATGGTGATCATTCACTTTGTAAGTATTACATGCCCTATTCAGTTGAGCGGGACCTCTAGCAATCTACGAGGTTCGCTTACAAGATGTCTGGTCTCTTTTCCCAATAATTTATGCGCCATGTTTCTTCTAAATGGGGAGTTAGAATTTTTGCTGTCCCAATTTCTACTGTATTAATCAAGAGCTTACAGCTGAAAACAGATTTTGGGAAGTGCTTTACCAATAATTTTCTCGAAAAGATGAGCAGAAATGGACTGAAAATCGGGTAAGAAGACCGAAAAAGTAGATGCAGGTTGAGAAAGTTGCTTCGCCATCAATATCATCTGAGTTGTACAGAGTGCAGACACGTACATCATGAATTACTTTTTGAGCCAAAACCAGTTTCGAGAAAGTCGTCGCATCACGAAATTTCTTGCACGTGTTGTAAGTTCGAAAGTTCTCCGTTGTACGTAGGTACCGGATGTTAGAATGATTGAGATCTGCAAAAATAGGTACTCTGGGAGTTTTTTGTTACTCGCCATTGAAGAAAAATTTGTTGCGGAAGTCTTTATTAGGAAAAGGCTTTATTTGATTTACTTCGGAGCAGAAGTGGTCACAGCACTCCTGCTCACTCTCTACACTTGCACCCATCGGGAACATATCAGCATTCTTCCTTACACGGTACGTTAGGTAGCGTTGAATTTAAGGCTTGCACCCATCGGGAACATATCAGCATTCTTCCTTACACGGTACGTTAGGTAGCGTTGAATTTCTTGCACCCATCGGGAACATATCAGCATTCTTCCTTACACGGTACGTTAGATAGCGTTGAATTTAAGGTTGACAAGATAGTTCTACGACAAAAAAAGTCATTTATAATTTTGAGTTCATCTCTAGAATTTTACAAATTAATCAGTTCACCTCTAGAATTTTACAAATTAATCAAAAATTAGAAATATTTTTACTCAAGAGATCAACAGCCTTCTCTTATCCTTTTAACGAGCCACTGATGCCTTTTGTCCAACGTTCTCAGATCTAAATAGGTTTCGAAATTTGACCTCACAAAGGAGTGCTTGAAAAGGAGGTGCATATGGTAAACAGAAGGTGCAGCGTTCCGACTAATAAGCAGTCTGAAGTCATGCGAGACCGTGAACTTTTGGCGAGTTTCTAAACCAAAATTCCGACGTACGTTGTCCTTCTGTAGGTGCCTGAGTTTAGTTTCGGGCGACTTCTCTAATGGCGTTGAAGAAGAGCTAGAATTTATAGGGGTAGGGGATAGCTGCCTCTATCTAGTTTATGTTTAACGACTCCTAAGATGGTAGCTTCGTGCAACGCAACATCATAAGACGATGCTTGTGTCGTTTACTTGGAAGATTAGTACCTGTTGCAATGAAGCGGTTCAAGAAGTTGTTGACCGTTAAATGTGGGTAGTGCTTTCGGTGAATAGGTAGCGATAATTTCAGATGTCACAGTAGCGCTCAAAAGTATTCGGCCAACTTTAACTTGCCGTAGC